CTAACTCAGAGGTCATTGTTTGGTCAGAGTCCTGCTGCTTTTAGATGCATCTCTAGTCAAGAGACCTGAATAAAATAAACTTGTCATTTTTTGGACTTTGTAGAGCTTTATAACATTCGGAGAAGTCAGCCCAGCCATTAAATCAAATGTGCAGCACGAGGGGAACAGTTTAAAGTAGCAAGATTTTCACCCTCAGGTCAAATTTTTTAAAACCATTATTCAAATTAGATCCGGAGGGATTTTGGTTAAGAGAAAGTCAAATTTGTTGACAAATTTTCCAACATATGGGGTTTCTCAAATGCCTAGACACATACGGACACATGAAATGTTGGAAAGTGCATCAAATGAGCCAGAGGACTTAGTAAAGTCACTAAGGTGATATCATCTGCTTTGAATTGCTCTCCTCGTGTTTTGACTCCAAACAAGACGTGTGGGAATGTTGTTTTTACCACACAAATTTCTCAGTTCTTCTGTTTTCCCACCTCGGTGACGCAGTGGATCCTTAATAATCCCGCATCAAAACCACTTCAAATTAAAAGGAAACAAAACACAAGTCAACTAAACCGGCGTCGGCGGCACAAGTGGATTTAGGAGGTAATCGTGTTTACGCACACAGAAACACAAACACTGGCGTGGATTACAGAGAAGATGAAGTATGTCGGAGAACAGCGGGAGTTTTCTTTCTCTCCGTTTGTGTGTGTTATTATTTAATTTTTCCCTTTCTTTTCCCAGAGCATTAAAGAGGGCGAGACGGAGGAGGGGGGAGAGGCATTAGAAGAATGTCAATATGATTGGAGGGAGAGGAGTGTGTGTTCGCTGCGCGTTCAGCAACAATGGCGCTCCAGCCGTGTTATTCCATGTGCATTCACATGAGCTGTTATTACCTCTGACATGTACCGCTGAGAGAGAGTGTGTGAGTGAAGGACAGGAGAAAATGACTTGAGAGAAAAATGGGAATAAAGGCAGAGATGCACCTGGGATTCTGTAAGTCATAAGTCAAAGAATAAGAACATTCAGCCTTTATAAGGTGTGGGACAGTGTGTGTGTTTGTCTGCTAGAAGCTCAGGGCACACCGAGGATCCAGCAGCTCCACAGCAACATAACTCTGTTAATTATTATCCGATCCTGAACGGCTGCCAGTGCAGGCCGTCCATCCATCATCCACAGCAAAAATAACTCATCTGGGACTGAAAGCTGCGACTAAAACAAGGGGCCAGAGGAGAGATTCCAGGAGGTTTCAAGGAGTTACCGGGAATACAATAATGTGTGAGTGTTTTACAGGTGAGGGGTTCGATTATGATCAGGGAGGAGGCCAAAGTGTCTTCAGTTCATTCTGCAGCGGGACGATGATCCACGGACATCCTCTACTGCAGGAAAAACAGGAAGGCTCCAGGAAGTGGCTTTAAAATGTACAACGACATCTCCAGATTTGCACTAATTAGAACAGGTTTTATGTTGAAAAAAAAAGAAATAGAAATATCAAAATTGTTCAATTTTCTAGACTCAAATTAGCAGATTTTCTGAATTTCTGTCTGCTTTTTTTTTTACAAAAATGGAAGGAAGGAAGGAAGGAAGGAAGGAAGGAAGGAAGGAAGGAAGGAAGGAAGGAAGGAAGGAAGGAAGGAAGGAAGGAAGGAAGGAAGGAAGGAAGGAAGGAAGGAAGGAAAGACACAATGAAGGATGAAGGAAAGAAGGAAGAAAACAACAAAGGATGAAGGGAAGAAGGAAGGAAACAACGAAGGATGAAGGGAAGAAGGAAAGAAACAATGAAGGATAAAGGGAAGAAGGAAGGAAACAATGAAGGATGAAGGAAATATGGAAGGAAACGACGAAGGATGAAGGGAAGAAGGAAGGAAACAACGAAGAATGAAGGGAAGAAGGAAGGAAACAACGAAGAATGAAGGGAAGAAGGAAGGAAACAACAAAGGATGAAGGGAAGAAGGAAGGAAACAACGAAGGACGAAGGGAAGAAGGAAAGAAACAATGAAGGATAAAGGGAAGAAGGAAGGAAACAATGAAGGATGAAGGAAATATGGAAGGAAACGACGAAGGATGAAGGGAAGAAGGAAAGAAACAATGAAGGATAAAGGGAAGAAGGAAGGAAACAACGAAGGATGAAGGAAAGAAGGAAGGAAACAACGAATGATGAAGGGAAGAAGGAAGAAAACAACGAAGGATGAAGGAAAGAAGGAAGGAAACAACGAATGATGAAGGGAAGAAGGAAGGAAACAACGAAGGATGAAGGGAAGAAAACAACGAAGGACGAAGGGAAGAAGGAAGGAATCAACAAATGATGAGGGAAAGAAGGAACGAAACAACGAAGGATGAAGGGAAGAAGGAAGAAAACAACGAAGGACGAAGGGAAGAAGGAAAGAAACAATGAAGGATAAAGGGAAGAAGGAAGGAAACAACGAAGGATGAAGGAAAGAAGGAAGGAAACAACGAATGATGAAGGGAAGAAGGAAGGAAACAACGAAGGATGAAGGGAAGAAGGAAGGAAACAACGAAGGATGAAGGGAAGAAGGAAGGAAACAACGAAGGATGAAGGGAAGAAGGAAGGAAACAACGAAGGATGAAGGGAAGAAGGAAGGAAACAATGAAGGAAAAGGGGGATTAAATAAGGATGAATATAAAGTCTGTTAGTTTTTTCTTTACTTAAATGTAATTGCTTACTCCTCTATTCCCTATCAAACTGTTGAAAGCCAGAAGTATGTCCACCAATCTGGATCACAATGACGTTTCCTGCAAGTTTCCTTCCTGCAACACACCTGATACGAATGGTCAAAGTAGCTCTTCACCATGTCACCAAGGAGCACCACGAGGCTGCTGATGACCCGTTTATTTAAATCATGTGCATTCAAGCAGAGAAACATCTAAAACTTGCAGAAATCTGCCCCTCAGGGACCAGGACTAACCACCCACTCCTTGTTCAGACTGCTTAGAGAAGAAATGCTGACCTGCAGCAATTCACGAGCTGCACATCAACTACTCTGATCTGACATTTAATATAATTTGCTTTGAAAATTTGATTCCAACTTATGTCAAATTTAAGCCAATATATATTAACATAAATATGCATGAAAAAAGAAAAAGAAAATAACACCAATTACAAATCAGAAGAGAGAGCCAAAATATTCCTCTCAGAACTCCACCCGCACAATGCTTTAAATGTTTCCTTTGCAAAGCAGACCGACTGACCAAAATATCCCGTACCCATGTAAAAATAACGCCTGTTATCAGCTCTGCTAACACAAGCACACTAACAGTCCTCTGCACACTCCAAAAGCCAGTCCTGTGCATCCTGCTGCCAGAAACAGTTCACTAATTAGTTCTGGTTTTCACAGCCGACACATAAAACATCTAAATGAGGAAAATTTAACAAATTAAACACTTTAAGGAGTTATTACAGTAAACATGTTCTTCTTTCCTCTGATATAATCGACTAATTAAATCCATATTAAAGAGCTGGAAGAAGATCTTGGTCTAAAGTTGCTGTTTTTCAGACGCTTGGAATTGAACAAAGTTTAGCAAATTAACACAAAATATGAGAAATTTGATAAAAAGTAGTGAAAACAAGCAGGTCAGGAGACAAGTCGGCAAAAACACAGTGATTATCCACAGAGGCTGTAATGTGTGTTTACACGCCGTCCGACACACACTATAATGCTGCACTTCTAGGAAAACAACAAGCATTTATTCATGTTTAAACATGCAAACTGTTTCTGACACGTTATGTTACACAAACACACTCAGGCAGTGAGAGATAAAGTAATAGATTGTGTTTAAAGCGCAGTTTGTTTGGGTTTTGAGTTTGTTTTTTTTAGCATGATCTTAATTGTACTAAAAGAAACCAACTGGATGCTGATGTTGTGTTCTTTTCACATCACACACAACAGTCTGCAAAATGAAAACAGACAATTAAAGAGGCACACATCAGTTTTTTCCTTTTTCAAAACCAAAACTCCTGTCATCTAAATAATAAATAAAACCAGAATCGTTTTAATCTGAGGAGGTACACCTCCTCAGATTAAAACGATTCTGTTTTTATTTAGTCTAAGGTCCTTAATAAAGGTGGAAGATTTTAATCCAACAGAAAAATTTATTGATTTTAAGACAACCTCTGTTTATGCATCAAAGAAAACATCCAGAACCTTGATCTGATCTCAGAAAACATGTTTATAAAGAGGTTAATATGTTTAAAGATAAGGGAAAAAAAGTGAAATTTCCCTGGACTTGATGACAGATACATAAAGGACTAAAAGGAATATTAGGAAGTTCTGAACACGACATTACATGTTTAATCAGGGCTCCTAGATCCAGAGTTTACATTTTTATTATTATAGTCAAATTAACAGCTTGGCTTCCAATTAGGTCTTATTTCACAGCTTCATTTCAAAGTAAACAACAGCCCAAATTACTGTTTGTTTTATTGCTTTTAAAAGCATAAATAAAGAAATGAAGCAAAAAAAAGGGAGGGACCATGCACCCTAAAGGTTCTGCTTTTCTATTGTTTATTTCTCTATTTGCAAAGTTAAACATAAAGGAAATCACCTGCATTTGATTTCAATAAATATATGTAGGCCAATGAAAAAATAAAAAATAAAAAATTAATCTTAAAGATATTGGAGGAAAAACTGAGAAAGCCAAACTTTTCCACACTCAGTCGATTGGAAAGTGATCCCATCCGATTGCATACTTATCCAGGCGCAGTAGGAACCCTGTGTGCTTGAAGGCAGATCTGATCGCTGTAGATAAACATGCGCGGAGCGACTGTCTTTGCAAAAAAAAAAAAAAAAAAGAGGCATAAATGTTAAACTTCATTTCTAAGTTGAGTATATTAGAAGCATAACTGCTTTATTCCGTCCTGGAACTGAAGCTGCGTCCCTAAAAGTTGGACTTTTCTAAAACACGCGGCTGAAAGTGTCCTGAAACCTAAAGGAAAGAGGCTTGGATCTTTGAAACTGTATGGAAATGACTCAGAGGAGGTTCTGCAGACTGACCTGGCGCTGGTGCAGTCCTGGTACAGCGTCTCGAAGTCCTTTCTAGAGATGAGCTTACAGCGGTTCACCCCGGGCTGGATGGCGCCGAGCCCCCGCAGGACGCGCACCTGCTCCACGGTGCAGACCACCGGCGTGATGTCCAGCCTCTTCAGCTTGGTGTAGACCGTATGCAGCCCGCCCACCAGGTGCTTCAGGAAGAGGTCGAACACCTGCGGCAGGCAGATCAGCTCCTGGCCATCCACGTTGAAGCTGGCCACCTTCACGCCGTGCACCTCCACCAGTTTGCACTCGCTACACAGAGCCGGTCCGGAGGAGGTCTGCACCAAGCTCGGGGAGCCGGGGGTCAGACCGGCCGCGCTCAGCGAACCGTGTCCGCTGAGGGAGCCCAGGGTGCCGCCTGGTCCGGGCAGGAAGGCGCTGAGCATGCTGCTGGTGAGCCGCGGGGACGGGGACAGAGAGTGGGAGTTGATGTGCGCCGGGCTGGAGGTGCTGGTGGAGACGGCCGAGGAGGTGTGCAGACCCTCTGGGGCTGAGCGGTAGAGCCCGACGGGAGTTTGTGCTCCCGAACCCGGAGAGAGGAGCGGAGGAGAACCGGGGAGCGACATGGAGGAGGTGGGAGTGGGTTTAGTGGATAATTTCCAGTTGGAAACCACTTGTTCCTCTTCCTTTTCTTTATAGTTTTCCTGTCACTTTTCCTTCTTCTTTTATGCTTTTTTTTTTTCTAATTTTCCTCTTCTTCTGCGAAACTCTTCCCTCTTCCCATCCGGTGTAAAGTCTCACTGTGGAAATCCGTGCGTGGACTGTCCGGTCTGTGCGTAAAGCAGCCTGGATCAGACTCCAGGTCAGCCTTAGCCTAGCCCCGCCTTCTCTTTAATTGACGGACAGGTGCATGGACCAATCAGGGCAGAGCTGAGGAGGAGCGACCGAGGGGCGCATCTCGCCGGTGTGTGTGTGTGTGGGTGTGTGTGTGTGTGTGTGTGTGTGTGTGCTCTTTTTTTTTTATCGCTCTCATCTCTCTCTTTCATAAACTTTCTCACGGGCCGATCCACTCTCTCCAAAACGGGAAGTTTGTGTTTTTCTTCCGCATCATTTTGGTCCCAAATCTCAAACAGAACGTGTGTGTGAGCGCGCGCATGGAAGCTTGTGTCTTGGGTCAATTGCTGCTCGCGTGCGAGCTCTGGTGGCGGGATGGACACACCTTTAAATAACAGTAATGACCCCTTAAAGAAAGAAAAACAGGGGAAGGAGTCTCAAAATGAGGAGAAAGTGAGGAAAAGAAACATGATTAAAGGGAAAAGAGAGAAAGAGTAAATGACACCCTGAACTACTCTGTTTAGGAACATTTCAGATTACATATTTCATTAACAAAAACTTTCTGTGCATTTCAGGAATTCAGCTCAACCTCTATTAGATTTCTGGAGCAAAAAAAAAAAAAGAAGGGAATAAATACAGGGAGAACTGAATTTTTTTTTAAATGTAAGAAGAAAGTGAAGAATAAGAAGTATTAGAAATGAGTGAACGGCAGTGATCACAGGATGGATAGAAGGAAGAACTCAAAGACCAAATTAAAAAAGGTAAGAAATTAATAGAATGGAAAAAAAAGGGATAAAGGGTGTTATGAAAAAGGATGGCTGGATGGGCAAAGTGAAAGCAAAAGGGGGACAAAAAAAATGTGCTGGAAAACAATGAAACTGGAGAAATTCCTGAATTTGATATTTTTGTAAATAAAATCCTTAAACCCCTTTCTAGCAACTATGTCGGATGTGATCTATCATTTTCTTAACACTAATTAAAAAGCATATATTAAGTTCAGAATATTACATCAGACTAATAAAAAAAAGGAAAAAATAAAGGTTGGTCATTCCTCTGGCTAATCAAACGCAGTGATGTATTGATCATTAAAGCAGCGACTTCTAACTTTAGAAGTGTGGAAATATGCAGGTCCTGCAGAGAGAATTCATTCAAGTTCCTTTTAAAATTCTAGAATATAACAGTTTATGAGCAGACATCTTTGTTAGCATCTTTTTTTTGAGTCTCCCTTACTGTGGAGCAAGTTTATAGCTGTCTGTTTCAGATAGAGGTGTGGAATAAATTGACTTAATGTGGATTTTAAAGATTAGATTTTTAAAATCTGGATTTCTTGTTCATAAATGCACTACTTGGGCTTCCATGTTTCTGGATAATGTCAACTCATCACTTTTGGCTCTTAGATGTAAACTTAAAACATATAAACCAGCTCAGTCAGTATAGCTGCAAACATTCAATGTCTTATATTTTTGTTATTTACAATGAAAGGTTCTTCCAACCAGTTTTAAGCATGTTTCTTCATTTGTTTTTAGTTGCTTTCTAAATTCAGGTCAAACTCTAAAAGAGATGACTGAAACAAAAGCAAACTTTTGAAAATAATTTCTACTATACGTAAATTGTTTTTTATGCATATTATGGAGGGAAAATGTATTTAATCAGATTTAGTGTGAAAAAAATCAGGGATTACATTTTTTAGATAGTTGTCGTTCCATAATTGTGTTAGGATTCACCCTGGCATGTTAGGCAGGGCTCCTCTCTGACCGCATTTGTTAAAAATGGTTTTACTGATGTAAGTTAAAATAAAGGATAAAAAGAAAAGTTTGAGTTTATAACCAGAGAGAATAAAGTTGAACAGGACAGAGAATTTTGGATAAAAACGAGGAAACCTTAAACAGCCTGAGATGGTTATAGCATAGAAGATAAAGAGGAAGATGAGGATTAGCAGAGAGAAGTCTACAGAATAATAAAACCAGAGATTGGGACATCAAAGGGAATTAGTGGTGTGTGTTTAAACAGGGAAATGGAATTGAGGGGTGTGGATTACAAGCAGACTGGGTTTAATAATCCCATGTAATCTCATTACTCTGAGAAACCCTGACCGAGTAGAGAAAAGGAACACAGACAGACAGATTATGAGACTAAAAGGAAAAGTTAAAAAGAGTTAAACAGGAAGTTGTCTAAAATGAAAACACCAAAACAATAATTATTTTCATTAAGTCTATAAAAATATCTAATCTCAGATAAGATTACTTTTTCATTTGTTGATTTTTAGGATTTCCAGCCAAACAGATTATATAATGTAAACAATAACTATAACATCTCGTTTGAGTATTTTTACTCAGTAGAGATGGTGAACTGTGGGAAATATGCAAATGTGTCCTTACTCAGATTTCAGGGAAGCTGGATGTGAATTTAATCTTGTGCCTGAGTGGGGAAGAGGAAATTAACAGTAAAATTCAACTTGAGGATTTATGTAAAAAAAAAAAAAAAACACTGCAGCTTGAAAACATGACATTTCAATAAGCTAGATTTAAAAAAAATCACTGGATCTGCAAGGAAAAGGGAAAACAGGTGAAGAGCAGCTCTCCGCTCAGAGAGAGAAAGAGTAAAACAAAAAAATGGAACGGGGGAAAAGGAGAGTCAGAGGGTAATCATTCGTCTCTCAGGACTAATAATGATCAAACTGAAGCTGGACTCAGAGAAAGACAGAGAGAGATGAGCTCTTAGTGGAGGTGAATATCTCTCAGTGGGGATATAATGACCAGTATGAACTTGAAGTTGGACTTCTCGGCGTGGAATAAGAAACAGAAGAAGAAGAGCAGATTTTGTCAGAGAGGAAGAGGAGGCTGGATGAGGTACAGGAAGGCGGATCAAGAACATCTGTAGGACAGAAGGAAGATGCTTTTAAATCAAGTAAGTTGGAATCTTAGAGGAAGACAAATTGAGGAATGATACATTTCCTCATTTTAAAGCATTCCATCCTGAAAGACAAGGAGAAAGGAAACAATTAGAAAGATTTTATTGACTGATTTCATGGGATTATCCAGTGTTAAACTAGACTATTATCAGGGAGCTAGCAGCAGAGCGTTTGGACCTTAGCGGGAGTAATCTGAAAGATGTATTTTATTTTAAGTTCTGATATTTTTTTCTTGTATTATTTTTTAAAATAAATTACTTTTAGATATGAATAATTTGTTGCATGTAGTTTTCTACGCCTAATTTTTTTCCTTTGGTTTCTGTAAGCTTGAAAAAGCAGCCAGATGACACAGATGTGTGTTAAAGATACCTGCTTTGATCATTGCAAAGATCATCCAGGACAACCAACATGAATAGATCCACACTGCATATCACAAGACAGCTACCTAGAAGGAGACGACAATGTGCTGCTCTTCTGCCTCCATCCGTTACCATGACAGCTGTTGCGCAACATGCTACCTGGATTTTACCCTAAAGCTTCCAGACTGTGTGAAATAATGAAGCACAGTTGTGCTTGAAAGTTTACATAGCCTCCCAGTAAAGGAAATGACTGAAGTGAAATAAATTCATACTAGTAATTCAAATAACACTAAACTGATTAAACTGTTGTTCAAAAAAATTTATTCTAAAACACAAGAAATCCCTGACAAATGAAAGTACCTTGAACTACGGTAACATATCAGTCAACGGGTGCAGACATCTGATTGAACATTTTCTGAACTATACTGAAAACAACTGGTTCAGGAGCTCCATCAGGCTTGTTTACTATTATTATTTTTGTCGTTTTCAATTTATTTTACTGTAATTTACTCTTTTACTCTTCTTTTAGTCTTTAAAGGAGGGGTACATAAACTTTCAAGCACAACTGTATATCCTGACCTGGTTAACGTATCATAACGTGCTGATCAAACATAAACAATGCAAAAAATTTAAATCTAATTAAGTAATTTTTGCTTAAAAAAGGGAATTTTTTTTCTTGATTTGAGCAGGTAAGTGAGACACTTTGCCAATAAAACAAGACCATTTATATGTAAAATAAGTAAAAAATATTTCATTTTCTTATTTTAAGTGCATAATATTGTCATGAACCGTGGACAGAGGGACCCAGTATTCAAGGAGAGACAGTCTGTAGGAAAGTTCAAAACGTTTATCAAATAAACAAATAAAACAAAAGTGGAGCTGTGGCTCGCGGACACTGCAGGATGGGGAGCGGGGCACCGCCCAATCACAGAACTCTGCAGGAGAAACACAGGTAAGTGACCACGATCATCTGACAGAAGATGATTATCTGAGTTGGCCACTTACCTGGTTTAACAGTCCAGTCCTAGAATGTCCCCAAGTGCTGCAGTCCCAGAGGACATGCTGGAAGCTGATCCTGGTCAGGGATCCAGAACAGACAGGGACAGGATCCAGATCAAGCAGGAACAGGCTCCCAGGAGGGTTCAGAGTCTGACAGGGTCTGAATGCGTGACCAGGAGGTCACGCACAGGAGCAGACAGGATCAGATGCAGATGAGCATGCTCAGTTGAAGAGGGTAGTCGAGACAGGACGTGGAACTAGAACTTGATGCAGGACTTTAAACTGGTCCAGGCTTACTGAGAAAAAAACCTCCCCACATATAGAGCCAAAAACCCAGAGGACTCCGCGGGGGAGGAACAGTGGACGATCAGGAGACGAGGCAAACACAAAAACCTCTTTCCACTGGCTGCTAGGATCCAGGACATGAACCATGAAATACAACTGAAGAGACTGACAGAAAAACAAAAAATTGATCTGGCCCTGAATGCTCAGGCTGAACTGAATATAACCAAGAGGAAACAGGTGAGAGGAATAAATTATAATTTAGGCAGGGAGGGAAAACGAAAGGAATTACTTGTTAAGGAGGAGCAAACAGGCCAGATCATGACAAATATCTAATTATCTTAATTTAGGAGTAAATATACTCATTCCATGAAATTAAGGTTAAATACACTCAATTTGAGAAATATTTACTATTTTCTGGATTGTTTTTGCAGTGTAGACTTTTCTGTCCAT